TCTATTCTATTCTATTCTATTCTATTCTATTCTATTCTATTCTATTCCAATTTCTTTTCTATTCCAGTTTATCTCCTCTTCTACTTTACTCTATTTTTCTATATTCTCTTCTCTTCGACTGTACCCTACTCTACCCTACCCTACCCTACCCTATCTTATTCATTCTAGTTCTAATCAATCCAGCTCTGTTAATCTGTTAATTCTATTTCGAATTCTAATGCATATGATTCCCACCCGGAGTCGCCTTATCGGGGAGAGGCCCAGCATATCAATTTAATTCATAAATAAGCCCCATTGCTTCTGTCTTCTAAAGGTTTGGTTGGAAGCTGCTGTTGGATTAAAAGCTTCCTTGTGACATTTGATAACAGCAAAGTCTACGGATACTCCACTCTCCATAAATAATAATTGCAACTTTTTCCTTATCTTCATTTCCTTCCCCCCAACCACCCTTTCTCTCCTCTCTTCTGACCCCAGGCACGAGGAAGCTTTGAACGATGGGAAGCTAGCTATGGCCTTTCTCCGGAACAATTTCTGCATCAATTACAAACAGCTCGGTTTGGCCTTTGTCCTTTGCGCCTCAGAGGTGAGGGATGAGAAACCAAATGGAGTGACCTTGGAGTAAAACGGGGGCTGTATCCTAATGAAAAAAAAAACCAAAACAAAACAGAGTTTGTGACTTAATTTCTGTATGGCCACAGGTGCTGCACAATATGGCGGCCACCCACTGCCAGCTTGGACGTTGGCACGAAGCACGAGAAACTCTAGAAGAAGCAGCCAGACAAACGCCCCAAAGACAAATGGTGGTTGCTTTGAAACAAATAGAGGTAAGTCGTCTCATTTAAATGGGGGAGTGGGGTTGATTTCAACCAGACAAATTCCTCCCCCAAAAACTGAGATTTCATTCCATCTTAAACGTAACTCTGTTCTTCTCCCATTTTGAGCTGAGATTTTGCCTCTGTCTCATGTCAGGAGCATCTCTTTCTGGAACCCCAGACCGTCCCACCGGGGACATTTTTTAGGCCTCCCTTGCAAGCTGAAGAGTTGAAAGAGAAGGACTATCTCGGTCAATCCAAGGTGATTATAAAAGTTGAGTTTATTTCACTTGTCTTAGAGCTAACCCTTCCAAACCACGTCCAGATGTTCTATCTATCTCAGCATCCGATTAGAGCAACCTTGGGCACTTGCAGATGGGTGAGCTTCACCTCCTACCATTCCCCAGTCAGCCATGGGAGTTGACGTCAACACATCTTCCACAATCTTCCACCATCATGGCTTACTGGGAAATTCTAGAAGTTCACACATCTTCAACCACCTTCACTCATCTTCAACCATCATGGCTCACGGGGAAATCCTGAGAATTGAAGTCCACACATCTTCAACTAGCCAGGTTTGAGAAACACTGGACCAAACTAGAACCAAGTTTGGGTCCAGAAGCTAAGTATCTTTTCTTTTATGTATACTGATACTGAGAGTATTTGCACCAAGACAAATTCCTTGTGCATCCAGCGACACTTGGCCAATAAAGAATTCTGTTCTATTCGACTAGATGAGAAGCCACCAAGAAATCTTAAGGTTTGGTGGGAGTTGAAAACATTTGGTCCTGCCAAGCTAGATTTTTTTTTAAAAAAGAAATATTCCCACATCCCAATCCAGATGTCCACAGTGGATGCAAAGAGTGGTTATCTTAATGTGAGAATTAAGCAATGAAAATCAGGACGGAGAAGATGCCCCTTTTCCTGTTGGTTCTTGAGATCTTGGGTGTGGCCAAGAGAGCTTTGAAGAAGTCTTTTGGTGCTCCCCAGGCTCAAGAAATGAGCCAGAACCCAAGGAGAAGCAAACCCCTTGGGAGGAGAGATCCTAAACAGTCACCCTATTTGACCTTTTAGCTATTTGCATTCATCTCTGAATTTCTTTGCTTGCACAGGTCATTTCTTCCGCTCTTGAAGAGGACTTGAACATCAACACTTCCCAACTGAACCTTCAGGTGTGTAGGACAACATGGGGAAGAATGAGGTTGGGTGGTTCATCAAGCAACAGGTGGCCAACTTTTAAGTTCTGCCAAGGCTCCTTTGCTCCTGAGACCAGCAGACGGAGAAGAGCTGAAACATCTCAAGATCTTCTGCCCAGACAGGGTTGCCATTCTTCCTGCAAATTAGCATTTTGCTGTACAGATTGCTAATCCTTTTTGAGCTGAGCTTTTATTTATTGGTACCTTTCTGTTCTTTTGACAATGGCTGCATACAATGGTAATCTGGCTGCTTCGTTTAACTTGTTTTCCCCCCGTCATGCTGGTTTTCTACATGTAGGGAGTTCTATAAAAACTGTGCCAACTCAAAAAGCTCAAACGGCCCAAAAGGAGCTGCTGATCCAGTTCTACAGAGGAATTACGGAGTCTGTCATCTGCACCTCTATCACTGTCTGGTTTGGTTCTTCAACCCAACAAGACAGACCCAGACTCCAGAGGGTAATTAGGACTGCAGAAGAAATAACTGCTACCAACCTGCCTTCCACGGAGGACCTGTATTCTGCAGGAGTCAAAAAGAGGGCTCTGAAAATATCCACAGACCCTTCACAGCATTCATCTATTGCTCAAGTTTTTCTCCCTGCTAGGCTAGCTTTCTACATGCAGGGAGCTCTTTAAAGAAAAGAAGTAAGATAGCATTCACCGATCTCTTCCTTTTACCATTCCACTCGCACGTTCAAGGGTGAAGAGAAAGAAGTGGATAGACCCATACTCTACCGCATGGTAGGGCAATATTCTTACACCTCTGATGCACCAGAAGACCTGAATTTTAAAGAGGGGGAAGTCCTTGAGATCCTGTCTGAAGGTAGGAAATGGGACGTGAATCCCATCAGGGTGTTCAGCTTCCTCTTTCCCTAGCTTGGGAATTCAGGTGGTCCTTGACTGACAGCCCTTTGTTTTAGAATGGCATTGAAAGAAAAGGGAGTTGAGGGGTGCGGTGGCCTAGAGGTGGCGCTCTCGCCTCACAATCCTCACCCGGAATCTGCTGTGTTTCCGCAGTGAACGAGGAATGGCTGGAAGGCCGATGCAACGGAAAGACGGGTATTTTCCCTAAACGCTTCGCGGAGCCTGAATGTCCTGTGGCCACCCGACTTTAGAGGAGGAAGAAAAAGAGTCTCATTTGCTGACAGCCCCCCCCCGCCAGCCTCAGTTTCCCTGCTGTTGAGAAGATATGACGTTGTGGGGTCCTGGGTGCTCTCTGAGCTTGCTTGTTTCATGACCCAACTAGGTAACATCAGCAGTGCCGGAGGTGGACAGTGGGTTTTCTGTCATGCCCCTGTCAGAGTCTGAATCTGAGGAGGAAGACAAACAGCTGACACAGGGAGTGGGAGTGTGGCTCCGTTGGCTGTGGAGGAAACTTGGGGAAGGGCAAAGTCCAGCTGGGCAGAGCAGGGGAGAGGTAGAACAAGGGGGAGGGAATTCAGAGGAAGACCCAGGTCCACCCCCTCTTCATCCTAGGGCACGCAAGGAGGAACAGAATAGGGAGCAACATGGGATGTGTGGCTTACGAGGGAGGAAAGGGCCCTGATTCCCTTTATTAGCTGCAGCTGGGAACACAGCATATAAAAGAGGAAGCTGCGCACTGCAAGTTGTTGGGAGCAAATCGTGAATTATCTGGTACCATTGTGGCTTATCTGTGTTCCTGGCGTCTTCCCAACTGTGTTCGCTTTCAAGTCTGAAATTCCTTCTCCTGAACCTGTCAAGTTAGTTACTTCAACTTGGTTTGTTTTGGATTTTCAGTTACAGTTTGTATGTATTTTGTTTTGGACTGAATTTTCTACAGTGAAAAAAAAGGCTGTTCCTGGAAGAGTTTTTCTCCAGCCAGAAGGTAACCTTGACGTTGGGGGCAAAGTTGGAGGTATTAAAGGGACTCTTATTGATCATCTGACTATGTTGCCTTTGCGCCACGCCCCTTTGGGTCATCGCGTTTTCTGTCTTTTTGGTGCGCACAAACTGCCCTTCGTCATGGGTACCTCTTGACTTACGAGCACATTTGAGATCCTACTTTCCCTCGCTAAGCAAAGCAGTTGTGAAGAGATTCACACACCCCACCCCCAGCCTTGCCAATCTGGTGGCTGACAGGTTTAATAAATAAGAAACGCAAAGGTGGAAGGACCTCTGGACCAACAGCCAACGTCCCAAGGCTGAAAGGCGGACGGGGTCAGGGGTTGAGCTGGGGCCCTCCATGAGAGGAGAACATCTCCTGCCTCGTGCCAAAAGGGGCAGAGACCAATGAGGTAGGACGTGTGCATGGCCTTGGACCTCTTTTCCTTGGCTGGAGAAGACTCGGGACCTCTCCAAGGAGCAAAGGGACGGTGGGTGGAGGTGACAAAAAGCCCTCTTGGAGTGTGTCTCACAGCAGAGCGTGCAAAACGAGGGCGAGGAGGCAGAGGGCCAGGGTGGCCACCAGGAAGAAGACGCTAGCGATCCAGAAGGCTTCCTCGTGGCCCTTGAGCAGTTGAGGGGCCTCCGCCGGGATCATGTTGGTGAGGTTTAGCATGTAGCCCAGGGTCCAACCGATGTCAGAATCGGCAGCCTGTGGGGAAAGAGAGACATTTTGAGAATAGGTGAGAGAAATAGAAATCACAGAATAACAGAGTTGGAAGGGGACTTTGGAGGTCTTCTAGTCCAACCCCCTGCCCCGGCAGGAAACCTTACGCCATTCTGGACAAATGGCTGTCTAGTTTCTTCTGCAAAACCTCCAATGTTGGAGCATTCACAACTTCTTGGAGGAAAGTGGTTCCACTGATTAATTGTTCTCACTGTCAGGAAATGTCTTAGTTCTAGGTTGGATCTCTCCTTGATGAGTTTCCATCCGTTGCTTCTTGTCTTGCCTTCAGGTGCTGGAGAATAGCTTGACTCCCTCTAATTTGGGGCAGCCCCTGAGATATAGGAACCCTGCGATCCTGTCTCCCCTAGTCCTTCTTTTCACCAGACTAGACCTACCCAGTTCCAGCAACCATTCTTCGTACGTTTCATCCTCCAGTCCCCTAATCATCTTGGTTGCTCTTCTCTGCACTCTTTCTAGAGCAGAGGGCTCTAAACTTGGCAACTCTAAGACTTATGGACCTTTGCTCTAGAGTCTCAACCTCTTTTTTACATCATGGCTGAGGAGAAGTCCTCCCCTCCTCCCCTTGGGCATCTTGTTCCCTTCCTCGCCGTCTTCGTCAATTTTAATTGTTCCTATTTCATGTCTTCACGTTTCTTAGGGGTTTTTAAGATGGAAAGCCACCTGGAGTGACTTCCAGGTGAGGCGGGCACCGTATATTTCGATACATGAATAGGTGGGTTTTACCAATGGGCGAAATGGATCCCGGGGTCAAGACCAGACCAGAGACTTTGCCTAGTGAATGCAATGAACGAAAATGAATTCATGTGGGTCAATGCCCCACCCCCGAGACCATCTCACCTGCATTTGGAAGGCGATGTTCTGCCAGGTGTCGTTTCGGAAGCCGTAACCATCCAATAAAAGGGTCAAGATGTAGTTGGCACTGGCACAGTAATTCTTCAGGTGGAAGGGTTTTTCTTGAGGGTAACTGGTGTTCAGCTGGGAGAAGCAGAGAGCAGCACAAAGGGAATCTCAGTGGGTATTGTCAGCCTCACAAGTCCGAACAATCCAAGGAAGGAAGGAAGGAAGGAAGGAAGGAAGGAAGGAAGGAAGGAAGGAAGGAAGGAAGGAAGGAAGGAAGGAAGGAAGGAAGGAAGGAAGGAGAATAGAGGTGGAAAGGACCTTGAGAAGGAAGGAAGGAAAGAAGAAAGGGAGGGAATACATATATATATATATATTCACACATACATGCACACATATTAGAGAGAGGGGAGGAGAGGGAGAGATGGGCAGACAGACAAGTTGAGTGGGTAAATGGATAAATTGAGTAGATAGATAGACAGATGACAAACAGACAAAGTGGATGGATGAATGGATGGATTTGAGAAGACAGAAAGATATCTATCTAAGATAGATAGGACAGATGATAGATAAATGGTAAATACAGAGAGAGATTAGATAGATAGATAGATAGATAGATAGATAGATAGATAGATAGATAG